ATGAAATTTTGTTGGATCGTAAACAGGCATATCCTGGGCTTCCCAACATTTTATTGGCAAGGTAATGTGTCTGACTATCAGCAGCAGCAGATGGCGACGACTCCCGTGCCGGACACCGTGAATAAAAAATGTTTTGAAAACAATATTTGTTTTATATATGTATATGCAAATTAATAAAAATAATAAATTATAATATCCATATAATTGTCATTCATATAACACTGCATTAATTAGATTCTATTTGTCTTCATTATTAAAATATTTCATTTGGTTTTGTGTACTCTTATTGCAATGTTTGCTTCGTGTTTGCTGGCAAAATATATCAAATGGATATAATTTCCGAGGTGGGTCTAAACATACCAAAAAAACGAGAAGGAACGTGTTAGTCGCTTCTGGGGACGCGACTCTACTTATACCCGTACTCAGTCAGTATATACATTTTTGAGCATGATTTTTTATAATTTTAGAATTTAAAAAAAAATTTTACATTTTACATTTTTTTGCTACATTTGTTATCTACATCTCATCTACAATGTCTATTCTACATCTAACATGTAGATTGTACATGTACCATTTAGATTCTACATCTCCTCCGCTAGGGGCTGCTCGCGCACTGAACGCGGCAGAGTGTGCGAGCGAGAAGGAAAATGTGTTGCGTTGTCGATGGCGGGAGGGGGAGGGGAAGCAACTGAAAGTTAATTTCTTCATTCTGGCTATAATTATGATCCGATCTGATTCAGATTCGGCAATCTGGTAGATATGGTCATTCTCTACGATACTGCTTTTTTAGTTTTATCGTATCTTTAAAACTGTGCCTGCCACAGATTTTCGTCTTTTGTGTGTGCAGAAGGGGGCGGGGCGAAATTTTGAAATACACTTGTAGCAGTGTGATATCACATGAGTCTGGAAACCAAATTTGGTTTCTCTAGCTCTTATAGTCTCTGAGATCCAGGCGCTCATCAAGACGGACGGACGGACAGACGGACATGGCTATATAGACTCGGCTATTGATGCTGATCAAGAGTATATATACTTTATGGGGTCGGAAACGTTTCCTTCTCTGCGTTGCACACATCCACTTTTACCACAAATCTAATATACCCCTTAACTCTTTTTTGAGTACGGGTATAAAAATGTCGTATATCAAAAGGTGCTTCAATTAAGAGCTAATTCCATTCATTTAAATTATATTGAAATTTTAACTATCTGTAGAGTTTATCTGAAGGCATTAATTTGGGTCGAGACGATGTTCGGCGGTTCCGCTAGTAGAAAATAAAGATAGCATATTTGATTCAATTTTTTTAAATTGTATTACTTTTATTATTTCCATAGATGGTGAGTCTGGCATAATTTATTAAAAATGATTTTTGTAGTTCTGTTTTGCTTTTTGTTTTTCTTGTTTAAATATACATACATACAATATTTAATATACATATGTATTTTAATTGGTTTCGTGTTTTGGGCTTAGTTTAGTATTACAATTTAATTTAACTTTTTAATGCATTGCTTAGCTAAAAAAAAAAACCCTTATATTAACTCGACACATCTTGATATAGTTCGAAAGTTTCATAGTTTTTTACGATAGCTTGGTTTAGATTTCTTGGGCCTTATCTGTCGCTTACCTTGGTCAGCAGAGAGTCCGAGCTGTGTGATAGTAGAGTGGGCTACTGGGGAGGATTTGGACCTATGTATGTATATATACTATGTACGTATTCTGCATGAGCGGTATTCTATATTTAGTATATACTGGGCAGGCAATTAAAAATCGTTGAAAGAATGGAGATTTCAGTTTCAGTTTGAGCGCTGATCCTTGAGCCAGATTTGAACAGACCCGACTTGTCTGCGTGTGGAGTTGAAAATGCTTAATGCTATCGATAATGTATACTGTTTAAAATATATAAATATACATATATATATATATATATATATATATATATATATTTCGTGATTTCTGGTTTACTTTTATTCTTTATAATGTCACGCTAAAATCTCAATACACAATTCAATTAAATTCTATGACTAGTTTCTTATTACAGTATATTCCATTTTTTTTTTGTTTACTTTCGAGTCTGATTCGGCTTATTCGCTTACCTTCCAAGACATGTAGTGCACAAAAAAACAGGATAATATCAACAAGTCTTATAAGTACGTCTAGCATACAGCTAGCTAGAAGTGCAACCGAACGATTTGATCGAGCTGCGATCTGCCCGGTTTGGTTTTCTTTGCGTATCTTTAGTCTAGAGCTGGAACGTAGGGCTGGAAACTACCGACTGCCATTTTACTATATACATATATACACAGATATATGCATAGTTATAGACAGAAATATTCACGGATACATGCTTGTGTTGCGGGACACCATTTGACGTACTCGCTCTTAAAGCACCGCAAATCAACCGCCCTTGATTGGGCGGCTGTGGAGCGATCTTTTAAAAGAAGTCGTCAAAGGTTTTTGATTATGTCTGGTATTGGAGCATTGGTGCCGATAGATTCGGATGATGCGACGAGTTCATCCGTAGAGCGGATAGACTCTTGTTGTACCACTCATCTTCCGGGGACATGCCTGAAACAAATGGCAAAGATAGAAGAAAATAATCATTTTCAAATTGATTCAATTTACTTTGGTAAGTTTTCTTTTGAAATTGTTAGTGGTGTTCTTCCATTAATAGGCTAATAAGAATTTCAGGTTTTTTTATTTGTCCTGAAAGAATATTTTCTTGCTGCCCAAAGAAAACTTAAGGGTCGAGACGGTGGGCGTTCCAGACCCGGAAATTCATTTCAGATTCTAATATCCGGGTAGGCTCTTCGCCACCATGTCACTATTTCCACTACTATTGCCTTGCCATGTAAAAGCATCAAATTTTCTTCCACATTCTTCTTCGATATAAATAATCCGATAAAAATAGAGATTATGGAAGCGCCTTGGCTCTTAAAAATAATTTCCAAACATATCAACCACAGCGGTAATTCACTTACATAACACATTAAACATGAGATCCACTAATAAGTGGTGATGGAAAATGAGGGAGTGGATGAAATTTTGTTGGATCGTAAACAGGCACATCTGGGCTTCCCAACATTTTATTGGCAAGGTAATGTGTCTGACTATCAGCAGCAGCAGATGGCGACGACTCCCGTGCCGGACACCGTGAATAAAAAATGTTTTGAAAACAATATTTGTTTTATATATGTATATGCAAATTAATAAAAATAATAAATTATAATATCCATATAATTGTCATTCATATAACACTGCATTAATTAGATTCTATTTGTCTTCATTATTAAAATATTTCATTTGGTTTTGTGTACTTTATTGCAATGTTTGCTTCGTGTTTGCTGGCAAAATATATCAAATGGATATAATTTCCGAGGTGGGTCTAAACATACCAAAAAAACGAGAAGGAACGTGTTAGTCGCTTCTGGGGACGCGACTCTACTTATACCCGTACTCAGTCAGTATATACATTTTTGAGCATGATTTTTTATAATTTTAGAATTTAAAAAAAAATTTTACATTTTACATTTTTTTGCTACATTTGTTATCTACATCTCATCTACAATGTCTATTCTACATCTAACATGTAGATTGTACATGTACCATTTAGATTCTACATCTCCTCCGCTAGGGGCTGCTCGCGCACTGAACGCGGCAGAGTGTGCGAGCGAGAAGGAAAATGTGTTGCGTTGTCGATGGCGGGAGGGGGAGGGGAAGCAACTGAAAGTTAATTTCTTCATTCTGGCTATAATTATGATCCGATCTGATTCAGATTCGGCAATCTGGTAGATATGGTCATTCTCTTACGATACTGCTTTTTTAGTTTTATCGTATCTTTAAAACTGTGCCTGCCACAGATTTTCGTCTTTTGTGTGTGCAGAAGGGGGCGGGGCGAAATTTTGAAATACACTTGTAGCAGTGTGATATCACATGAGTCTGGAAACCAAATTTGGTTTCTCTAGCTCTTATAGTCTCTGAGATCCAGGCGCTCATCAAGACGGACGGACGGACAGACGGACATGGCTATATAGACTCGGCTATTGATGCTGATCAAGAGTATATATACTTTATGGGGTCGGAAACGTTTCCTTCTCTGCGTTGCACACATCCACTTTTACCACAAATCTAATATACCCCTTAACTCTTTTTTGAGTACGGGTATAAAAATGTCGTATATCAAAAGGTGCTTCAATTAAGAGCTAATTCCATTCATTTAAATTATATTGAAATTTTAACTATCTGTAGAGTTTATCTGAAGGCATTAATTTGGGTCGAGACGATGTTCGGCGGTTCCGCTAGTAGAAAATAAAGATAGCATATTTGATTCAATTTTTTTAAATTGTATTACTTTTATTATTTCCATAGATGGTGAGTCTGGCATAATTTATTAAAAATGATTTTTGTAGTTCTGTTTTGCTTTTTGTTTTTCTTGTTTAAATATACATACATACAATATTTAATATACATATGTATTTTAATTGGTTTCGTGTTTTGGGCTTAGTTTAGTATTACAATTTAATTTAACTTTTTAATGCATTGCTTAGCTAAAAAAAAAAACCCTTATATTAACTCGACACATCTTGATATAGTTCGAAAGTTTCATAGTTTTTTACGATAGCTTGGTTTAGATTTCTTGGGCCTTATCTGTCGCTTACCTTGGTCAGCAGAGAGTCCGAGCTGTGTGATAGTAAAGTGGGCTACTGGGGAGGATTTGGACCTATGTATGTATATATACTATGTACGTATGCTGCATGAGCGAGTATTCTATATTTAGTATATACTGGGCAGGCAATTAAAAATCGTTGAAAGAATGGAGATTTCAGTTTCAGTTTGAGCGCTGATCCTTGAGCCAGATTTGAACAGACCCGACTTGTCTGCGTGTGGAGTTGAAAATGCTTAATGCTATCGATAATGTATACTGTTTAAAAAAAAAATACATATATAATATATATATATATATATATATATATATATATATATATATATATTTCGTGATTTCTGGTTTACTTTTATTCTTTATAATGTCACGCTAAAATCTCAATACACAATTCAATTAAATTCTATGACTAGTTTCTTATTACAGTATATTCCATTTTTTTTTGTTTACTTTCGAGTCTGATTCGGCTTATTCGCTTACCTTCCAAGACATGTAGTGCACAAAAAAACAGGATAATATCAACAAGTCTTATAAGTACGTCTAGCATACAGCTAGCTAGAAGTGCAACCGAACGATTTGATCGAGCTGCGATCTGCCCGGTTTGGTTTTCTTTGCGTATCTTTAGTCTAGAGCTGGAACGTAGGGCTGGAAACTACCGACTGCCATTTTACTATATACATATATACACAGATATATGCATAGTTATAGACAGAAATATTCACGGATACATGCTTGTGTTGCGGGACACCATTTGACGTACTCGCTCTTAAAGCACCGCAAATCAACCGCCCTTGATTGGGCGGCTGTGGAGCGATCTTTTAAAAGAAGTCGTCAAAGGTTTTTGATTATGTCTGGTATTGGAGCATTGGTGCCGATAGATTCGGATGATGCGACGAGTTCATCCGTAGAGCGGATAGACTCTTGTTGTACCACTCATCTTCCGGGGACATGCCTGAAACAAATGGCAAAGATAGAAGAAAATAATCATTTTCAAATTGATTCAATTTACTTTGGTAAGTTTTCTTTTGAAATTGTTAGTGGTGTTCTTCCATTAATAGGCTAATAAGAATTTCAGGTTTTTTTATTTGTCCTGAAAGAATATTTTCTTGCTGCCCAAAGAAAACTTAAGGGTCGAGACGGTGGGCGTTCCAGACCCGGAAATTCATTTCAGATTCTAATATCCGGGTAGGCTCTTCGCCACCATGTCACTATTTCCACTACTATTGCCTTGCCATGTAAAAGCATCAAATTTTCTTCCACATTCTTCTTCGATATAAATAATCCGATAAAAATAGAGATTATGGAAGCGCCTTGGCTCTTAAAAATAATTTCCAAACATATCAACCACAGCGGTAATTCACTTACATAACACATTAAACATGAGATCCACTAATAAGTGGTGATGGAAAATGAGGGAGTGGATGAAATTTTGTTGGATCGTAAACAGTATTTTTGATTTTTTGTCATCCTATGTGACGTTTGCATAACAATAACGCTAGAACCAACAATCGAACTCTAAAGAGATCATGACCTTAAAGTCCTACCTCTTATAGCCATTTTTTAGGCTGCTTACACTGGACTTGCGCTATGAGTCTTTGTGTCTTCCCGGAGACGCATTTTTTTTTTTGACATAGGTTAAGCATCGCGCCTAGTGGTGGCTAAAAGTAGCGTCCCCTTCGGACGCAGATGCGTTTATACGAAATATTCGATTGCTTTTGCGCTTAACAGCCCGTTTTTGCACTTTTCTACTTATCAGCGCAACCAACACAACTAATAACAACAAAAACTTTTAAATCAAAAATTAAATACAATAAAGCCCATACAAAAAGGCCACATGTTTAACAGAGATTTATCGATACCCAAATCGAGCTGTCGGAGGGGGGCGGGGCGAAATTTTGAAAGACACTTGTAGCAGTGTGATATCACATGAGTGTGGAAACCAAATTTAGTTGCCCTATCTCTTATAGTCTCTGAGATCTAGGCGCTCAACAAGACGGACAGACAGACAGACAGACAGACGTACAGACAGACAGACATGGCTATATCGACTCAGCTATTGATACTGATCAAGAAAATATATACTGGGCTATTGATGCTGATCAGGAATATATATACCTTATGGGGTCGGAAACGTTTCCTTCTCTGCGTTACACACATCCATTTTTACCACAAATATAATATACCCCATAACTATTTTTTGAGTACGGGTATAAAAATTTTACTTTTACGAATATTTGAGCACGTAGAAACGAAAAGTAAGCGCTTTTGTTGAAAAAGTAAAACGCAAAAAGTAAGTAAAAACCAAAAAGGTCTTCAGCAAGACACATGATGAATCCTTTGTGTTAACAGCATAAAGATGAAAATTGTGCGACATAATTCCTCGATTTGCGATCCAGTATCAGATCCCTTTCCAGTACTCTGGACTCAGTACTTTCCAGTACTACTCACTCTCCCGGTGGCAGATGATCAAGGGCAAGGCGGAGTTTATTGTGGAAACAAAAAGCGTAGTGAAATCGAACAATCCGCATAATAGAAGGATTTGGCAATGGCTCCTTTAATGTGTGATGCTACCAGGTGGTTCCGGATAGATACTGCGAAACAAGCTTACCCATCGAGTCCTGACGCACGCCAACAGACCCCATATTTGTACCATGCGCCATTGAGAACGGTTGCGTCATACCTGGATACGAGGAGGCGCCCATTTGGAAAAGATCCTGCAATGGATATATGTATACGGTATTAATTATGCTTTTATTTGTTGAATTTCATCTCTAGTATACCTGAGGATATCGATTCATGGTATTATGATGGGGATATGGCTGATACCCGCGGGAAACACTATAGCCCTGAATATTTCGCATCATTCCGTTGCAAGATGGAATTACAGATGGTGCCAATGCCTTCTGAAGCTGTTTCTCTTGCTTGCGATACTTGGCGCGACGATTTTGAAACCAAACCTGCGAATGGAAGCAAGTAATGGAAATAAATAATTTTATATTCAAGTTTTGGTCCCATCCCAATTTTCTGTTTTCCCTCCCCGTTCCACTTTCAAAACTCCTTGGGTAAGTCTGTGGTAACGGACGATGAAAAAAAGAAAACGGCATTGCCAAGTGGCATGCACTGAGCCCTCAGTCGCTGCTGTTCGTATGTTTCTGCCTCTGGCTTTGGCCGTGGATCGAGACGACGCCAAAGTCTTCTGAGTGAAAAAATCTAAATTGAAATTGAAAATAAGTTGACGGTGCTATTTGCTGCGAGGGTCCCGTCCCAGCTCTGACAGGGAGTGCTGCGGACGGGAGAAGGGCCGACTCCTCTGCTAAGATATTAATAAAGATGGTTCTTATCCTGACGATGCCGTTGTACCTTGTCCTTATCTTGGATGGCAAAAAGAAATTGCTAAGATAAAAGCTGTGCTCTTCCCTAGACAACAAGCATTGGTACGATAGAGGGTGTATGAGTGCCCGGGGTTCGGGGGTGGTGTGAACAAATTTCCGACATTTTGAAAGATGCTCAGCTTGCTTTGAGTTACTTATATAGGAAGACAAGTGGTTACGGTAAGGCGGGAAAGGGAGGAGGTAGAAGTAATGGCGGTACTGAGGCAACTCGTCGACGAGGCTGTCTTGAGTGCGGGGGTGGAATGTTAATGGGGGCTGGAGGGCATCACGATGGTAACTGTTTCTTTCTTTTCGTCTTTCGGTTTTTTCTTTCATTTATTTTATCATTATTATTATCTTTGTCCATGGCTATGTACATATACGCATTATATAAAAATTAATATGTACATATAGATATATGTATGTATGTACATACATACATATGTACATATGTTTGTGGGTGCGTGTGTTGGCTTAAATGAAAAATACAGGCATCATGTCCTGGCCCTGCCTGGTTTCAGGGGTTGTTTTCAGTGCTCGCTTTATTGCTCGTTCGGTTTCATTTGGTTGGCTGCCAGCATAAAAATGCCAGTCAGAGCGTCATCGTGTGTATGCTTGTTTGCTTGTCTGTGCTCATGTTGTGTATATGCGAATGTGCGGCTGCTAAATAATGCTCTTAACCATGAGCCATGGATGGTGCTGCCTGACTACGCCTGCTTCCTCGAGCTCGAGGGATGAAAAACGTTGTCTGACTGTTTCTCTGTCCGAATGTCTGTTTGCCATTCAATTTCTAGCTGCTTGTGTGTATGTGTGTGAGTGGGCGGAGTAACTCAATTAAGGCACACATTTGATGACACACATACATGTATTTATGTATGTACATAGTACATGCACATAAATAGGTACAAATATTTTTAAATACTTACGAGTACGCAAATAGGAAAAACGTTATCTAATATTTTTGGATATTCATTTCTTAAAGTTTTAAGTTATCCGGCCTAAACCTGTGGCCTTTGCACCCAGCCCGTCGAGGTCTAAATTTGATACACATTTTCAAATAGCACAATAACACACTACTCGGAAGGAAATAGCTTTAGCTTTCAACATTTAAACTTTGACTCAGCCAGCGTTATTTTTAGTGATTTGTGTTTTAGACCTTAATAATCTCTGTACTTTTGATTTGGCCCACACGTTTTCAAAGCTCTATGTACATATGTATGTATACATACAATAATATACATACATATACATACATACAAAAAAAGGGTCCGAAAACACGAATACACATTTTTTACCACGAGCTGATCATAGAAAATCTTATTAATGGTCGTGAAGATGCGCAAAAATACATCAATCTCACGGTATTTGACATGACTATCTTGCTCAATCTTTCGCGCACATCATCGAAATTTTATGGCACAACAAATTATTTTAGACGACCTTCACGAAGTTTGTCCTGCAAAGAATTGCAATCGTCCACGATTGAATTGGCGATATCAGTTCCTTACAGTGGCAACGCGTGGTGCTTTATCAATAAAAGTTGCACTAATGTGATTTAATCATTCTTGGCTCAAAAATTCACATCAAATACATATGGTAGAAAATCACAACACAGAAATTTTCATGAGTAAATTTAAATTTTTGAGTCATTTTCAATTTTCAGTCATACAAATTGATAAAAAAAATTATCTTTTAAAAATCCTAAAATGTATGCATTAGAACATTGCAATGTTACATTTGCATTTCATCTTCGTGTTTAACATGACTTTAGACGACTACCCATGAAATCTGCTCTTCGATGAAAAAGATGTTTTGTTTAGAAACTATTAAATAAACTACTCAACTCTTGAGCTTGAGCTTATTTGTTTTATAACCCATTTTTTTCATTACGACCTTACACCGTCCTGGTATTGGTCAATAAGGTCCTTTCCACGCTTCTATAGGATTTGAGCCAATCATTCTTGCACCGCTTGCCAAAACTTTGCCCTGGTTGACGGATTTGTAGTTTCTATTTTCCATTTGGCATTCCCCCATAAGATTTCGATGAGATTTTTATACGAAGACGCGGGGGTCGGTTCAAGACGGTGTCAAATTGAAGACGATGTGGAAGCACCCTGTAGAACCAAGGGGGTCAATTAACCCTCTGGAACTAGCTCCGCGCCGATTACCGCGCAACTAGTATTCGTCGACTACATTGTACTAGTTCTGCGACTAGTTACACGGGAAGCAAACGGCGACCAGTCGAAACAGATTAAAAATACGAAGCCAATTTATTTTTTTTTTCGAAGTCGACAAATAACCGAAAACCTACTGTACTTGCGCTCGTGGAATACAAGAAACAAAAAATTATACAAACAAAATGCATTTGTTCTTCGCGCGTTTGCTTTCAGCATTGGTCTTTTCACTTCTGCGAAAGTTCCAGTTCCTGATAGAAGCATTTGTGAAAACGTTGCTTAAAATAAAAAATCTAGAGAAATTTACTCAAGTTTAATCATATAAACGGTAATAAACAGTTACGTAACGATATATTACATACATATGTATATGTTCGGCTAAGCGCCGGCCCATGGCAGCACAATGAGCAAAGAGACCATATGTAACATCTCTTAAAAGTAACGTCTCTCTTTATTACTGTTTTGTTTGCTTTGCTTATGCTCTGTCTGGTGCTTTGCTCTCTGTCGGCGTTCGACAGCCGCTGTGGTGGAGGCTCGTCAGAGAAAGCAGAAGACACTTCAGATTCGATCATCTCCGTAGTTAAACGTTTTGCTGTTTGGCACAGTGACCTGCCTGCCACATAGTTCTAAACTAAACCTTACATAAATCTAACAACTTCAACAGTCTTGAACCGGCCCCCGCGTCTTCAATCGACCCATCGTTAACTCTCGTTATCAAATCCGCACACCTTTCGCTAGTTTTGGATAAAACATATATATTAACTTAAGTACAATAAACTGTGAATACATTAACTGAACAATCATCGCCTTTTTAATAATATCGCAATACAACGCTACTGAAGAAGCTCAGTAGCTCAACATTTGGTGACCCCGACGTGATAGAAACATAAACTTGTTAAATTTTATCACAAAAAACATAACATTTTCGTTGGATAAATTGGCTTTGAACCACGGTTTTTTCGGTTTGTCGTATGTGCACAAGCAACAGAAACGGTTCTCGCGTCATCTGCTTTGCGGTCTGCTTGCTTGCTGCTGTTTCGTTTCGGTTTCGTGCTCTCAGTGTGCATGCCTTTGTTGTTGTCGGATGCACAAGTTTAGTGCGTTTCAAACTGTTAGCTCACGCTGCTGATCTGTAAAACTGCAAGACCGTGTGTTTTGAGCGCTGCGATCGATTGTACAGTTCATGTAAAACTGCTCGAGGTTAGTCACCGGCTGTTAACCTCTACACTCGCTCAGTGACTCTAAACCCAGCTTTCTACTGAGCATACACGATGGCTTCTAATAGCACCCCTTCAATCTCTCCCCCCTCACCTTTGTTCGTCGATTCGGAAGCTGCATTCAACAAGCGCAAGGTGCAATCCATGGTAGGAGCAGCACGGAGATGGAAACTGCCGTCGGCAAGGAGAGGATTGGGGAACTCAGTGAGGAGGAGTTAAATGTGCGACTAAAGTTGCTAGCGGATCTGGTCGCTTCGTTCAACGAGCACCATAATGCCCTGGAGAGGATTGATCTCGATGAGATTGGCAGTCCCTTGAGGGAGGAGTTTGACGAATGCGTGGTCATGCTGGAAATTCGTATGAAGCGCGAGTTGAACAAGCGGCAGCCCACAATGCTCCCATGCTCAACAATGCGGACGGATCATGTTGGAGAGGCCCCAGCTACAGTCATGGTGCAGAGTCGGCCTCGCCTGCCGGAATTAAAGCTTCCCGAATCAGCGGGGGCTACGCGAAATATGCTGCGTTTTGGGGCATGTTTGCCTCCATAATTGACAAGGATTCTGACCTAACGAATGTGGAGAAGCTGCAGCACCTACGATCCTGCCTGAAAGGACCTGCTCTAGACACAATCTCTTCGCTAGAATTCAGCCACGCCAGCTATCCCATCGCCCTAGACCTTCTTAATAAACGATTCAATAACAAGCGTTTAATATTTCAGGCACATGTCACCGACATTTTGGGTGTGCAGCGTATTGAGACCTCGTCTGTGTCCCAGCTCCGGTCATTGTCAGATACTGTAAATGCCAATCTGCGGGCCTTGCAGAGTATGGGGACAAAGGACCAGATAGCTGACTGCATTCTGATACATATCCTGCTACAGAAAGTGGACAGCGCCACACAAGCCAAGTGGGAGGAATGCTCGTCAATGGATAGCATACCCACAAGCCAGCAATTTACCGCTTTTCTGGAGCAGAGATGCCAGAGGTTGGAGACTCAGGAGCACGCTAAGGAAATGTACACTAATAGCAATCGGAAACACTGCCTAGTTGCAACTACCTTCAAGCCGATTGCCTGCGCGCTCTGCGGCGACACCGGACATTCGATATATCGATGTTCTCAATTCAGCAACCTTTCTCCTCGACTTCGGCTCCAGGAAGCTAATAAGCTATCCCTATGCACCAACTGCCTCCGATCAGGCCATCAGCAAGGTGAATGTCGGTCACGATCCTGCCGAGTATGTGGTGCTAAGCATAACACACTACTTCATTCCGAGTCTTCGTCCTACACTTCTCAAGCCATTCTGCCTCAACTCGTCAAATCAACATCGACTCTACGAATTCCCGCGATACCCTCTGTCGCTGAACATGCCGTAACATCGTCAGCCACGTCGCTCTTGGCCCAGAGTCATCGACGGGACGCTGTGATTTTGCCCACTGCCATAATCAGCGTAAGGAGTCGCTCCGGGATGTTGATTCCTTGCCGTGCCCTGCTCGATTCTGGATCGCAGGTGCATTTCGTCACTTCTCGTCTGGCTCAACAGTTGCAGCTACAGAAGAAAGAGTCGGAAGTTTCCGTTTCTGGTCTAGGCGATTCGTGTGCCATATCCGAAGGATGCTGCGTCGATATCCAACTGGAATCATACGCGTCCAACTATGCCGCGACCATTACGGCACTTATTGCTCCAACCATTACGGGTAACCAACCCAACGGTATCCACGACATTAATCGCTGGAACATGCCCTCCAACATACCTCTGGCGGATCAGAAGTTTCACCAGCCCCAGCCAGTTGATATTCTGATTGGAGCGGCTCTGTTCTTCGAGCTTCTATGCCCTGGCAATATCAAGTTGGGAACTGGACTGCCACGTCTTCAGGAGACCAAACTGGGATGGATAGTTGCAGGAGAGGTTTCTCCGTCTCTCAAGGCAGCTCCACTTTTTGCTTCTCTATTTTCAGGTAGCTCATCTGAAGTGGCCCCTCGCTCGACCCAGCATAGGGTCAGAAATAAAGTCCGGAGTAGCGGTACTGAAGACGGTGCTGAAGACAACAACAGTGCTGCAAAATAAGGACGTTAAAGATCCGCGCTCTTCAACGGGGGAGTATGTTCGGCTAAGCGCCGGCCCATGGCAGCACAATGAGCAAAGAGACCATATGTAACATCTCTTAAAAGTAACGTCTCTCTTTATTACTGTTTTGTTTGCTTTGCTTATGCTCTGTCTGGTGCTTTGCTCTCTGTCGGCGTTCGACAGCCGCTGTGGTGGAGGCTCGTCAGAGAAAGCAGAAGACACTTCAGATTCGATCATCTCCGTAGTTAAACGTTTTGCTGTTTGGCACAGTGACCTGCCTGCCACATAGTTCTAAACTAAACCTTACATAAATCTAACAACTTCAACAGTCTTGAACCGGCCCCCGCGTCTTCAATCGACCCATCGTTAACTCTCGTTATCAAATCCGCACACCTTTCGCTAGTTTTGGATAAAACATATATATTAACTTAAGTACAATAAACTGTGAATACATTAACTGAACAATCATCGCCTTTTTAATAATATCGCAATACAACGCTACTGAAGAAGCTCAGTAGCTCAACAGTATATATATATATATATATATATATGTATATATTTATATATTTATTTATTTATATATTTATATATATATATTTGAATAAATAAATCGAAATAAATACAAATATACTCTGAGACCCTCTACAAAAGAAGAATGCTATTTTATTTTTGGTAAGACTAATGAAAAATAAAAGAACAATGTTTTTTGACCTTTTTTCTGTTTTTTATCCTATTAATTCGCAAAAGTGCCTGATTAACTAAAATGAGCGTCCTGATGGTGACTTTTTATACCCATAGTCGAAGACTTAATGGGAATATTAGATTTGTGGTAAAAGTGGATGTGTGCAACGCAGAGAAGGAAACGTTTCCGAACCCAAAATGTATATACATATGTACATATATTCTTAATCAGCATCAATAGCCGAGTCTATGTCTTTGTCTGTCTGTCTTGATTAGCGCCTAGTTCTCAGAGACTATCAAATTTTGTTTTCGGACTCCTATCACACTGACTCAAGTGTATTTCAAAATTTCGCATAAAAAATTTGGCAGGCTCAATTTTAAAGGTACTATAAAACTAAAAACGCAGTATCGTAGAGAATGACCATATCCACCAGATTATCAAACCGAGTTTGTTTCAAAATTTTGCCACGCCCCTTAAGGCCCTCGCAAAGGACGAAAGTCTGTGACATGCACAATTTTTAAGATACGAGAAAACAAACGCAGAATCTTTGAGAATTATCATATCTACCAGATTGCCGAATCTGAATAAGATCGGATCATAAGTATAGCCAGAATGAAGAAATTAATTTTCAGTTGCTTCCCTCACCTCCTCCAGCAAGAGACCAGCTACTCATTCACTCTCTTTCGCTCGCACACCCTCTGCCCTGTGCAATCGACATTGTAGATGTAGATTACGATAACAGATGTAGCAAAAAAAAATGTAAAGTGTGAAATATTTTAAAATTCTACACAAAACATAAGCTCCCAAAGTTACATATATACTGACTGAGTACGGGTATAAAAGTAGAGTCGCGTCCACAGAAGAGAAATGAACTATTAAATATTTGCACACAGCAATACTTAATTATTATTAAATTAATTATTAAATAGTTGCACACAGCAATACTTAATTATTATTAAATTAATTATTAAATATTTGCACACAGCAATACTTTTTCAATGAGCATTAGATTTCATGGGTATTTGTCTAATGACATAAAAAACAAGAAGAAAATAAGAAAACGGGAGATTGAGATATCGGTAGATCGACAGCGCCCTTTCGTATACCCATTAAATAGTGCCGTGCCGAGCCCTGCTTTATGAAGATGTGCTTTATTAAGTATGTCCCGTTATTCTCTCCAATTTTAATATTCTCTCTTCAAGGGGATTAATAATAAAAGTCACATTTTGTAACCTAGTCTAATTAGTGTAATTGTTTTCACCTGTTTACATCATTTTGTGTTTTCTCTTTATCCGAAGTTGTAGATACACTATCCCTGGCTCTTCAGCATTTCCAGACTACTAGTTTGGCTTGAAAAATTTAACATTTCGATGAAATTCTTTTATTCCTTTACAATTTAGCTTGACAGATTTTCCAGGCAGATGTGCGAAGTAACGCCCTTTCATCTCCACCAAATGGAGTGCTCCCTGTCAGGCAACCCTCCTCCTTACCTAAATAAGTCCAATTTCGCCAGATGAGACGACCCCATGGCAGGCCAGGCCAGAATGAGCATTACATTTTTCAATAAAATTTAGCTACGACAAATTTTCAGCAACAACAACGTAAATTATGATGTACCCGTAGATATGGATTTTGTTAATGTTTCTGCTCTTGTTGTTGTAGAGTGCTAAGTGAGTGCCAAAGTTAAGTTGTGAGCGAAGCGACGTCGAGAACTAGTCAAATTACCAGCAGTTCGCGCCGAGGGGAGAAGTTACGCACGGTACAAAAGCGGGGAAGTTAGATGTCAAGAAGTTGGAGAGGGGAATATGTATTATCGCGCTGCGGTCGCGCAGGAACGAGGGTTGCACTGACTCTTGTAAGTGTAAATATTTGAACATTTGTAGAAAAATATGGTTTACGCTTTGTTAATAGGCACACAGGGTCTGGGTCCGGAATCTGGCATTTGTCTGTCATTTGATCGTGAACAGTTGTTTGGAACAGGAGATGGGGCAAGGGTAGCGGCAACGGGCAATGGACAGACTCAGATGTAGATTACGATTCCGAAGTGTATCTGTATATAAATTTGTAATCAGCTTTTTTGGACATACAGCTGTCGTAAGACACGACCAAGATATTTTAGCATATTCATTAATATTAAAAGATCCTATTATTTTGAAAAACATAAGTTCAAAATCGTTTTAAGTCATACACAAAGTATTTTTTTAATTCAGTTTTGAGTCATAATTTTTCGCAATTCGATAGCCTTCGTTCATTAAAAAAAAATCTCGATGTGGTCGTTGTCAGGTAAAATTAAATTCCAACAATTTTGGATTTTATTTTTCTGAGTCATACAAATTCATTGATTAGTATTGATGCACACAGTACTATGTTAACAATATATCAGTAAAAAGATTCATATTTTTGAAAAGTAACTCTAATTTTAAAAGCTAATTTTCTACTTTCCAACCTGCTTAAGGACACCTTTAGATATCTAATCATTAAAAGTTTCAGATTACTCCAGTCAAAAAACGACGATATAAATTTGAGACGAACAAGAAAATCTACAACCCTACATAGAAATTTACCGGACAACCCCACCCTATCAACCCTGGTAGCCACCCCGAACTCTTACTTTCCAGTCATGATAAAACTATAAATTAATTATTGGCGCGGCGCACTTGAAAGCGCAGCAGAAGAGGGACAACGAACCAAACGAACCAAACAAACCAAACGAATGTGATTCAAACAGGGAGAAATCCTGATCAACTTGCGGAGAACCCCAGGGGTATTCGACGAGCACTTTAGAGCAACACCAGGCGTGGGCCGAAATCAGTCGGTTGGAATAATCGCACGCTAATCGCACACCAAGATCAGCCTCATCATCATCTTCATTTGGGGCGAGATTCGCAATCCGATTCTAATTCAGATGTCGATTCGAATTATGATTCTCAAAGCAACAGCTGTTGAAATAGGAGTAATTGGCTTCGTTCAAGGAAAGACGGTGGAGCTGCCATTTCTGATGTCAGGGTACTACTCACTTGTATCCGTGCCTCGTTCAGCTTTGTTGTACGCGCGAGCTCCTCGCGACAGTAAATGTCCGGATAATGCGATTTGGCGAATGCAGCTTCCAGTTCCGCTAATTGTTCCTGAAAGTAAGCTTTTAATTAGGCTTATTTGTTGTGCTCCCTTTTATATATCTAAATATCTTTTCGGTGGATTTTCTTCTTCCCTTCTTTAAACTCTTTTTTTTTTCCTGTCATTCGATATTTGGATGGTCAAGGATGGCGAGTAATTATCAGGATTTGCATTTAATATAGCTTGATTTCGAGTACTCCAAAAATATATTTAGTAAGTTCTGAAAAGCTGGCAAGAGACGGCAGGAGAATGCGAAGGATGCCCCGTTGCTAACGGGGGTATGACATTCAGCAGCTTTGTTAACTTTGCTGCAATGACAGAGCGACACAACGATAAATTTGTGTTGTTACCCGCCTCCAGTCACATCTCCAAGCTATCAGACGGAGAGCTGATGGTTTCCAATATGTATAGCCAGTACAGCCAGATTACCTAATTCGGATTTGAGAGGCGTAACCATCGATCATCTGTGCCGCTGGCCCCATCCTAATTGAATTGGCGGGTCTACATTTCTCCGGCTGGTGCATAATTCATCCTATACTTAAGTTTCCCATATCTTTCCTATCGGCCACTGGCATATTTCACTATGTAACAAAATGATTTTCATTTCAGGTGAAAGGCTTTTTTGTATGTTGTGTACAGACGTTGTTTAACTTCGAAATTTTGACTATAAGAACTCAGGCCATAACATAAACCTAAATTAAATTCCTGCGTTTTTTAGATTTGATTGGTATTGGCTCATTGATTTGTCGTCGCTTAGTCTACGTCTACAACAAACCAACATTCGTCAACACAAACTTGGAACTTGGACTTGGAATTTGGCTTACAGATGCGGTTACACCAAGAGTATACTCAATTGATCTCACCTATTCCTAGTTATATATATATATAAATATATATATGTATGTTTAACCTGCGTTTCTTGTAAAAAGTACTTGAATTTTGTGCAAACTGAATACTGACTCTTTTGCAAACGTATTTGTCGTGTAAATGATCAACAAAAGAAAAATAGTATTTTCCTTCTTGCTGTTAAATATGTACATTTGTATGTATTTTAGAGTGGGCCGAAAGTCCAAATTTTTGTAAACTTAAGTCCGAACTTAAGTGATAGAAATTTTTTAAGGGATTTTAAAACGAGGCCTAACAAATTTGTTAAATCTGTTAACGTTTGGCCATCGCGCATCGACCTTTTTGATTATGGCCAAGTTAGGCAAAATTTGGGTAGATCTTAACTCAGGATCCTATATCATAACCGCAGATTATAAAGAATTTACGTACAAAAACTAACTGGCGGTCGAACGTGGCTATTTTTTCAGGAAACTTAAAATTTTCGTTCTTTTCATACAAAATGTTAGAAGAACGAGCAAAAATTTGGGAATTCATTTAATTTAAGAACCTATGTATTCTCAAAAGCTTAAAAGAAAAAAACCGATAATGGATCGCAATTTATCCTAAATTAATCAGCAGAAACTTTTTGTCAGTCAGATTCGTTATTTTTTATGGGAATTTCAAAATTTAATTTTTGCACACACAAATGTTCAAAATGTGAAACTTTGTAAGAAAGCTCGTTTAATAATACCTTAAGACAAAAAAATTGTGTCTTTCGACCCACTCTAATATATGCACCATACAAAAAAATCTAAATAGTTAGTGTTAATAGTGTTAAATGGTGTTATTAGCCAGTACACAGCTGTAAGCCTCCTTCTCTATATAAAAGTATGTAGCTATAAGCTATGATCATGTACGAAAAAAAGCCTGGATACTTTTACTCAAACTTGACCTTCCTTTTGTTGTTGCTCTTGTTGCTGTAGCATCAAAGTTTTAACTACAAGAGTAACCTTAACGAAATCTAATTAAAATTTATCATTTAGGTAGAATGGATAGAGATGGGGCAGGGGGAAAAGGGTCATCAATGAATTCTGACCTGTGTGAATGTGGTTCGATGTCTCCGTCTGGCTGGCGTAGGGCAGGATGCAGTGGTTGGGGTGTGGCCAGCGTGCTGACTCAGCGTTGATAATCCGCTTCCGGGCGACGTGATGCCGGCGGAAACTGTCGGGAGGCCGCTGTTGGGTTCCGGCTTAAGCTTCTTGAATGCACCTTCCGCTGCAAAAATAGTACACACGAAAAGACGAACACGTTAATTAATGTTACAAAATGTCAACTAAATCTAGAATCCTAATCCGGTGCCAAAAAGTGTGGAACAAAATTTGTTTAATATGCGTAAAAAGCTTAACCTCAGCGCGGTGCCCAGTGATTCCACCTGACCCCTGACCTCTGACCCAAAAATGTTTCTTAATTGTCAAAGACAACAGCAACCGCGCTGCGGCCACAAGATGCTGACGCTGTCGTAGCTGGTCGACGAAGGCAAAGGCAAAAAGGTGCAAAGTGTTGAACTTGGGTCACGTTGACACAAGTGATGTTGATGGCGGTCGCATGAATATGCAATATGGGATAATTTATGCAAATGTCTAGCACATTAATATAGGTAGAAATCCTGGGTACAAGCTCTCAGGACTCCGACTGGGATGAGGCTAGATCTTTTGGCTGCTTCTGTTGATGTCGGCTACCTGCCGTACCATGGCCAAAAGGCGGTAAATAACATGCAAAGGTCATAGTAGGGACAAAGGACTCCGGCCACTGGACAGAAGACAGAGGACGCAGACCCTGACCTGTTGCTTTTGGCGTTTAATTGGCTCGCTTAGCTTGTCAACAAAATGTAAACTATGTAGAACATTTTGAACGTCGTCTCACTAATTAAATCACATATAATCTGCTCCGATACCTCGGACCACGCCGCCGATACCGTTATTTATGCTGTGAAGCCAGATAATGTAATTGACGTTGTTGGGACTTGTTGCATATATGTATGTACTTATAACAAGCCCAAACGATCTTAAACGTTTCCAGATACATATATTTTAACCTGCTGCACATATGTATCTGTCCATCCTTCAAAGATTTATAAGTAGATATATAGGCAACAACAACAATAAAACAAAAGGATAATTTCGAGTATAGAATCTTTAAGCCAGGTGCATGTCGAACGTACCGATAGTGGCCGATGGGATCTACATACAGTGGCAAGAAAGTACCCACCCACACCAAAACCTGAGATAGTTCTAGCCAAATTGAACAAGTGATACCTACGGAAAGCCTGGAATGTAGCATTGGATAACCGAAGAAACCCCGTACTTGCCCATCCGACATGACATAACCAACCCAAAAATAGCTGCAATGAATGTAGTGTAGAAAATTAAAAAAAACAACGAAACTCAAAAAAACTATACCATTCCGCACTAATTGTAACAATGGCACACCGGCCACTGGTCAAACTGCCAACGCTCAATAGATGACCAAAATCCATGAACCACTGCTAAAACTAGGCCGGTCACGGATGAGTGTCAACAATGTATTGGTATCCAGCATAAGCTCGATGAGATATATCAGTTGGACAGTGGCCTGGAAAAACGTCGATCTCCGATAAAAATCAATCCTAGCGAGCTCTGGGTATAAGTCATATCCGTAAAAGATCCAACGACAGAATTTGATTAATGATCTAAAGTATGCCCATACACAGCGCCAAAACCATAATACAACCCAGGCTAGAAAGTACTACATATTGAGCTGGGCCCCATAAGCCACCCCATGCCCAATGCTACAGATAAGTAGTAATGAATTTCTGTGAATGCCAAACTATCTTGGTCACACCAAACACACACTCAGTCAAAGTAGCACGGACCGGCCACCACGCGCCAACTGAAGTCGTGCCCTGTACTCTAGCCCAACGCGGCGCCCCAAACGTGTAATCCCCACCCCTACTGCGCGACAATGGTAAAGCCGGCCCCACCCCCCCCCCAACGCGCTCTTGAGTATGGGTAAAACATAGTGGAGCACAACCAACCCCCAAGCAACTTAAACCCTGACGACGCACCCAAAAAACCCGCCAAACCCCAGGAGGTGGACAAAACAAAAAACTCCATGACGAGCGGGACTATGAAAAACAGAGTGGATCACCAATCCTACCCGCCAATTCTGAACTAACAAAAAGAGGGACTACTATCATTGAACACAATTGTACATATATATATGTATATGTATATATATTTTATTATTTTTATCAGTTATATTTCTTGTTAACATATACAGTCAAGTCAATACAGTCAGTCTGACTTGATGAATACCAGGATCTCATTGCTGGCCCAACGTTTTGGCCCCTTTCATAATTTTTACTCCGAATCTGAAGCTCATATATCAACAACAAATTTTCGTGGGGTATGGTACTATTTTTAGTTATGAACTTTTTAGCGGCACCTGTTTTCAACAAAATAAGCTACTAATAAATAAAATTGTCCAAAAAATGCCAACAGTACGATTTTGTTTTTTACTAAAAGTAGCCTATTTTATATATCAAGAAAAATGTAAAAAATGTCAAAACAAGCATTGCTTGGAGGGCCATCAACGTTTCAAACGGTAAAATATGATTTTCAGAGGGTTGGTCAACCAATTTTGGCTCAACCGTTTCTCAATAGATTTTGAAGAACAATACTTTAAACGACGCCTAATTAATGCACCTAGACACAAAAAATATTAGGACACTGCGTATAATTTTTTTCTACTTTCCTGAGTTTTTAAAGTACACAATTTTGCATTTGAAAGCCTAATATTTTCCAGACCACAAGATTTTGCTAGTAGCGCCAAAACTTAAAGAATTTGACCGCAATCACAAAATGGCTGCCTTCTCAGTTTCAGTTTTTTTTTTTACATTTTTAACATTTTCAATTTTTTGTTGAAACTTGTGGCTTTTTGAAATGGAAACAAGTCATCAATGAACAGTTAATGAATGGTTTTATGCAATAAAAATATTTCCAGACTGACTTAGATGTTTTTGAATTCGCGCCATCGGTTTAAAGTTAAATAATATGATTGTCCACTTTTCAATGTACGCTACAGTATGTGTCCATTGTTTGTGAAGATTTCTTCTACCGTCTTTGATTTTCGGTAAGAAATCTTAAATTTAATGCGTTCTGGTCCAAATACCGAGCTTCCAAGACTTTTCCCGAAGACTTTTCCTTTGTATTTTAAGATATTTCAGATCCTTAAAAATTTATAAATACCTCAAGTGTACTTATTATTTTGACCACACCAATCAATACAAACAATTGGCAGTCATTCATTCAAAAACAGTCGAGATATTTCATAACAAATCAGCACGATGCCTCTGTACTTATTATTTGGACCAGTAGTGAATGTATATAAACACCATAACAAGCAGATATAAAATTCACTTTTGTATTTAATATGATATATTACACTAACAAAGAAGGTAAATTAACTCCAGAAACAAATAATTATGTGTATGCCTAAAATGAATAAATATTATTAAATATTGTAAGAAAATATTAGCACATAAGCTAAACGGCGGCGTCTTCAGGAGACAGAAAATTAGGAGCATTTTCACCAAAATCAACCAAACTTGGACTGTTAACGATTGGAGAAACATAATGTTTGTAACAATAGTAAGATAAACCTGTTTGGTTCGGATAGTAGGACGAATGATCGCCGCAAAGTCAGCGAACGCTTTAAAAATGAGTGCCCAAAACAAACGGTGTGGCAGCAGGATGGCCTGGGGTTTTTTTGTATTAAAGGATTAGGTATTTTGCATTAATTGACGGATGGATAGGTAAACGCGGTCACGTCGAAAAAAATGTAAGTGAAAAACCGCATTCCGTCTATTGAGCAGTACTTTCCGCATACTGATGCCCTCATCTTCTAGGACGATTCTGCTCCTTGCCACAGTGCAACATTGGTCAAGAACATTTTTTTAAACTTTGTTATTGAATTGTGTTGTGATTTATTCAAAAAGTTTGGTTTTTAAAACGACGCGTTATTATAGGTAAAAGAATATTTAGCAATGCTGGGGACTAGGACATTGGACTGGCGGGAAAATAGTCCTGATCTCAATCCGATAAATAATCTTTAGCACTTCATCAATGATTTCATGTGAAAGCAGAGACCCAAAACTTTAATTGAATTTATAAAAATATTGAAAAAAACATGGCATAACGAAATAAAAATCGAAACATTCTAAAATCTAGTAGATACCAACTTTTGCTTAGAAAACTAGTTATAAAACACACATGATGTTGAAGAAACTATAACTCTAGTTTATCATATATGTACTCTTTAATATTCATAGAACCAAACGTTATAGCAATATTCGTTTGAGAGACTACTGCAAAAAAAACAAAGCCATTCGCAAGGGACAAATACGTAAGTAGTTTTCGCGGCAATCAATTCAAACTCAGATTTCAGAAAAATTTGAGGCAATATTTTGATGCGAAATTTTGTACATGTTGTGCATTAATGTCTCTTTAAAATTTTTATAATTATACGAAAATGTGTTCCGTAGTTTTTTTTTTTTATTTAATTAAAACCATATACCGTTTGCTGGGATTGAGCCATTTTTCTCGTATTTATACCCGTACTCAAAAAAGAGTTAAGGGGTATATTAGATTTGTGGTAAAAGTGGATGTGTGTAACGTAGAGAACGACACGTTTCCGACCCCATAAAGTATATATATTCTTGATCAGCATCAATAGCCGAGTCGATATAGCCATGTCTGTCTGTCCGTCTGTCTGTCCGTCTGTCTGTCTGTCTGTCCGTCTTGTTAACACCTGATCTGGAGACTATAAGAGCTAGGGTAACCAAATTTGGTTTCCACACTCATGTGATATCACACTGCTACAAGTGTATTTCAGAATTTCGCCCCGCCCCCTTCCGCCTCCACAAAGGACGAAAATCTGTGGCAGGCACAATTTTAAAGATACGATAAAACTAAAAACGCAGTATCGTAGAGAATGCCCATATCTACCAGACTGCTGAATCTGAATTAGATTGGATCATAATTATAGCCAGAATGACGAAATTAATTTTCAGTTGCTTCCCCTGCCCCCCCTCCAGCCAACGACAACGAAACTCATTTTCCTTCTCGCTCGCACACTCTGCCGCGTTCAGTGCGCGAGCAACCCCTAGCGGAAAAGATGTAGAATATGAATAGTACATCTATAATCTACATGTTAGATGTAAAATATACACTGTAGAT